AGCATGTCAGCTATTCCCATTAGTTAACATATAACATCTGTAATTTAAGATTCTTGATGTTTGCCATGTTGTGTCAAGGGGTCTCGTCACGGTCCAGTTGGGAGTTAAAAGGTAAGACAATACAACTCAGGAGCTTGAACAAAAGTGGTAGTGGCTATCTGCTTTTCCTGGTTAGACTCCCTCCACGGTGACCATCCCTGACTATCACATAAATATGGGTCATATGTGGGGGAGAGAGGTGATCTTGGATGTACACAATAGAAATCAACTCTGGTTCACTTAAGTATTAAAAAGATTTATTAGAAGAATAAAGGTGTGCTCACAAAACCAAGGGGGAGTATTGGATAATTTAAGTCAAGAAAATCAGTGTTAAACATAGAAATCCAGAAGGCAGGAAACACAGGCAAGAAAAGACCCCTGGAACAGTTTCGTGAACATAGTTCCTCTCGTGCATCCACCCTTTCTGCCCTAGACACTACTCTCGATGGCTGCCATTATCACAACTGTTGAGCCCTTGCTAATGTCACATGCTACAACACCTACTGTAAATAAATTCTAACTATGCTAACTTCTTTCTGTACATTATTCATTGCATCCCTTTGGCTGAAATAAGTTCTTTTGCTACTGGCTGAGCTGTGAGCATGGTAAGTGAAATGACAATAACAGCTCTCAAATATACAGCTTACAAGCCCATTGACAGTGCTCTTAGTGCTTGGCTTATCTTAACAAATTTAAATCTCATGACAACTTGATAAGTAGGTACTAGTGTTATTCTCATATTACTTATGAGGACACTGATGCTTAGGGACATTACTTAACTTGCCCAAGTTCCAGGAAAGTTCGGGCAGAACCAGGATTTGCACGCATACCACCCTTCGGAGTCTTCTCTAGAAAGTCTCGTGAACATAGTGCTGTATAGTTTCCCACCACGTTTCACATTGTGGGCAATTACCAAAAAATAGGAAGGTTTTGGGTAAAGGGCATCCAGGAAAATATCATATCTCAGCTTCCAGTGGCCATGTTATAGTTTCTATGTAGAAAGAGATCTGGTATTTTTTTGTTGAGTCCCAGGTTATTCAACTTTGTCTGAAGTCAGTAGCCAAACTGAATATGCTACAGATGAATTCTTTGTTACCCTGCTTTGTCAGTTTAAGCAGCTATTTGAATTCCTCTATGTCTGACTTCTCAGTTTGCTAATTATTTACACACACTTCAATCCCACTGTGGTAGTGTCTTTGGAATGAACTCACAGTGACTCCTAAGGCCTGTAAGGGATAAATTATGTCTTTTAGAGACAACGGATACTTTCAGAAATGAATGGAGGTTCCCTCACAAAAAAGTAAGACTTTGCAATTATTTTTTATAGTGTTTGGTGACGGTTTACTATGTAGCAGGCTTTGTTTTTAAAACATGTAAATATTAATTTATATGCTTCTCATAACAAGTGTACGAAGTAGGCACTATTATCTCCATTATTTTTTATATTTTTATTTTTGTTTTTTAAATATTTATTTACTTTTGAGAGAGAGAGAGTGTGTGTGTGTGAGTGGGGGAGGGGCAGAGAGAGAGGGGGACAGAGGATCCAAAGTGGGTTCTGCACTGACAGCAGTGAGCTGATACGTGGCTCCAACTCACCAACTGTGAGATCATTACCTGAGCCTAAGTTGGACGCTCAACCGACGGAGTCACCCAGGCGCCCCCTTTGTCTCCATTTTATAAATGATGGAACTGAAGTGCAGAGGATTATATAACCTGTAATCCTCCTCACATGAATTTTAGGAAGTTGTGTGGCTCTGGGACAACACAAGCCCTGTAAGGCCCCAGCCTGGTTTCCATGACCTCTCTCGTGAATCTGTCTGATTGCCATCAGGAAATTTACTTCTGAATTCTCTTCTGAAGATGTTTGCACTATCACAAAGAAACAATCCCAAATAATGTGAATACATATGCCTTAACAAAGTAGGCTGGGTCTCTAATTGCTTCTTCTCCACATGAATTGAGTCAGAGGCTGTGTTTTCTCCCTTGGGTACCTATTCTCCTGAGAATTTCATGTATGTATAAATCCTTCTCGTTCTCCATCATTGGCTTCTAACATCCCAACATTGCTCTATTGGCATCATTTTATTTTATTTTAAAAGCTTTTTTATTTATTTTGAGAGAGAGAGAGAGAAAGAGAGAGAGAGAGAGAGAGAGAGAGTACGTTCAGGGGAGGGACAGAGAGAGAGGGAAGAGAGAATCCCAAGCTGGCTCCACACTCGCTGCTGAGCCCAACATGGGGCTCGATCCTACAACAGTGAGATCATGACCTGAGCCAAAATCAAGAGTTGGCTGCTCAACCCACTGAGCTACCCAGGCATCCCAACACCATTTTAGAGGGAACCGTCTATGTGCCAAAGGCTCTTTGATGCTCTTTTTATGAATCTGAATGTCAAAGTTTGTCCAAGTAAACTAAGTGGCCTTATTTCTCGGGCACATCACTCTGAGCCTGCAACAATGAGCAGGGATAACCCCCAAGCTAAAATGTTGTCTATAGTGGGTATGATGATTCTTTCTTGGAGTTGCTCAGTACTTGGTAGAGTCCGTTCAGAGACTTTCTCCTATTTTTCCTCATGGCAGCCTCCCTATGTGACAGGTTGGAGAATATTTTGTAATCCTCACCTTGTAATTACCTGTTCTTTATATATCTCCCTGCCTCTAGAGAACTTCAATCTTTGTAACCAGACATTAAGAAAGGAGATCAACAAGATGCTTTCTTTCTTTTTGAGTGGCACTAGCAATGTGAAGATCATAAGTGAAGTTGTGTCACCTTCCTTGAAGGGCAAGGTAAGTATTTAGCTCCATTCTCTGGTCTGCTTAGATTGTGGTATTAGAAGACTTGCTACATAAAGTTACAAGGACAACACCTTCCCATGGATTTTTCAGAGTTTAACATCCCAGGTTTTAATATTCTCACACTTCCAGGCTGCTCATCTGGAGGCTAGATGTTACAACAACCTTCAGTGATTAGGAAAATGGCGATTTTTGCCAAATAGTAGCAGATGGTATTTTTCTCATCATTTAACATCCCTGCTCTTAGGAGAGCACTTAGACACTGGTGAACACTCAGTACGTGTTTGTTGAGGGGATAGGTGAAAAGATTAATAAATGAATACAAGGATGAATGAGTAAACCCACGTGTTTACTGAGGCAGTTAACTATGCACGTATATGGTACCTAGTCCTGTGCTCTTAAAACACAGTCTCACGTGCAACTTTGCACAGGCTATTTAGAGACCCTTGATCAAAAGTTTTAGACTTTTGTGGGCAAGTAGTGGTAGTGCCTGGCTACTCATTATTGCTGACATTATTGTTGTTAGCATTAAAAAGACATGGCCTATAGGACACATTTGCTATCTAATTGAAAAGACAAAATTTCAGCATCCTTTAGTATCTACTCCTTGGCTCTCATCTCCTTTCATCTCCTACATCTGCATCTCACCTCAGATTTCTTCTTCTTACCTTTCCCAGTGACCCACTGTGGGCCTGAGTTCTTAGCACACATGACCTAAATGATGGAGTGGCCTAGAGCAGGTGCATGGGAGATGGTGACAAGCACATGAATTAGGGATATATTTTGAAGGTAGAGATAACCAGTTGTGCTCATGGTCTACATGTGGAGTGTGAGGGAAAGAGAGCCAGGGCTGAATAATTCTGGCATTAAGGGATTCTTTGTCGAAGACTTTATCAGGGTTGACCAGATAGATAGCTTGGATTCTGAGCATTGTGGAGCCGGTTTTATGATGAAATTATCCAGTTGGCTGAAATAATTGGTACAACCTTCAGTAGATGCCTCTTGCAGAAGTCACGCCATGAAAGATGGCATCTCAACATTTGTACCTCTTATCAATCCTTATGGTCAGTCCCCAGTTTTTTGTTTTTAATATTTAAATTTTTTAATGTTTATTTATTTTGAGAGAGAGAGAGACAGAGCTTGAGAGGGGAAGGGCCAGAGAGAGAGGGAGACACAGAATCTGAAGCAGGCTCCAGGCTCCAAGCTGTCAGCACAGAGCCTGATGCGGGGCTCGAACTCACGAACCACGAGATCATGACCTGAGCTGAAGTCAGACGCTTAACAGACTGAGCCACCCAGGTACCCCTGTTTTTAATATTTTAAAAAATGGTATGTTTGCTTAAATAGATTTGAATTTAAGATATGAGGTCACTTACCCACATGCTTCTTTAGTAGTGTGATTCCAATATTTCTGTTATTTTTCAACAGTCTTATATACATATTGCTAATAATATTATTTATTTAATAATGGTAAAACTTATGATGTATTGCACACTATTAGGCGGTATTTTGGGTAATTCAAACATGTCAACTTGTTCAATTGTCCAAACAGCCTTGTGAAGTACTGTTATTGTCACTTTTGTTTGAAACTGACGTACGGAAAGGCCATGACTTGCCCCGGGTTACCCAGCTGGCAAGTGGAAATGCCAGGATTTGAATACAAGACAGGTAACCCAGAGACCACGTTCTTCACCAGCCCAATATGCTGCCTCTTGAAATACTTGTGTTGTTTTCAAACTACCATTTTAAAAGAATCTTGTAATATAGTACAAGTTGGAAACACCATGCCCACTTAACTTTTTCAGATGAAGAAAATGAAGCTCAGAAACATTGATGTTGCCTTTCCAAGGGGTAGAATGAGGGTCACAAAAGCCTTCAACCCACGTGAAAATAAGCAATGGCCATTTTGAAGATAACTGACTGGTTATTTGGAATATCTCAGTGGGGGTCAAGGGCTGATGAATATGTGTGTACCCTTACATATTGAAAGGTGGAGGTCGGAATATGCCAGTCTTGTGGTTGCTGGGAAGTCTGCACTGGTAATAGTATCATAGTCTGCTCATGTCATTTGGGTGACATGGGAGAGCTGTGAGCCATTTTCCATGCATAAGTATTTTATCCATCTTGCCTTCTTGTTTTCATAGGTGAACCACAATGTCAAAATAGTATCCATGGAGAACAACACCAAGGTGAATGAGTTTAGACTCTTGGGACTGACTGACAACCCAGAACTGCAAATCTTTCTCTTCATAACATTTACTCTCATTTATCTCACCACTCTCATTGGAAATCTTGGGATGATCATGTTGATCATATTTTTCTCAGTAACCTCTCTCTGGTAGACTGTGTTTACTCCTCAGCTGTTACTCCCAAGGTGATGGCTGTGTTTCTAACAGGGGATAAAATCATCTCCTATGGTGGATGTGCTGCTCAGATGTTCTTCTTTGTGGGTTTTGCCAGCGTAGACTGTTTCCTGCTAGCTGTCATGGCTTATGATCGGCATGCAGCGGTATGTAAGCCCTTACATTATACCACCACTGTGACCACCAGCTTGTGTGCTCAAATGGCAGTAGGCTGCTATGTCTGGGGTTTTATTGAATCTGCCATCCACACTGGATTCACCTTCAGCCTCTCCTTCTGCCATTCCAATGTGGTCCATCACTTTTTCTGTGATATCCCTCCAATCCTGGCTCTTTCCTGCTCTGATATCTACACAAATGAGATTGTGCTCTTTATCTTAGCAGCTTTCAATGTCTGTTTTGCCCTGATAGTAATCTTGACCTCCTATCTGTTAATATTCATTGCCATCCTGAGGATGTGCTCAGCCGAGGGACGGAAGAAAGCCTTCTCCACCTGTGCCTCACACCTCACTGCAGTCACCCTCTTCTATGGAGCTGTCACGTTCATGTACTTACAACCCAGTTCTAGTCATTCTATGGACAATGACCAAATGGCATCTGTGTTCTATACAATAATAGTCCCCATGTTGAACCCTATTGTCTACAGTCTAAGGAATAAAGAGGTAAATAATGCTTTCAGGAAAGTCACTAAGAAAATGAAGATTCTGTTCAACCCATAGACTAATTAGAAAGATTATAAAAACTGAATAGTTAATCAGTTATCTATTGTTGTGTAGCAAAAATATTATAATGCCTAGTGGCTTAAAACAACAGTTTATTATTATGTCTCATAATGCTGTAGTTGGTGAGACAGTTCTTTGCTGCTTTCACACAGGCTCATTCGTGAAGTTACAGGTCTTCTGGATGGTCAGCTGAGCTGAAATGTTCAAAGATGACCTTACTCAAATGTTTCTAACTGTTGCTTCTAGTTACTTTCTTCTCCTCATGCTCTTTCAGGATGTGAAAGCAGGATGGACCAGCTTTCTTAAATAATATTTTCAGTGTAAAAATAAAGCTGAATGACTTCTTGAAGATCAGACTCCTAACTCACTCATTTTCTCTACATTATCCTAATCAATGATGTCAAGGTTGGCCCCAATGCAAGCATGAAGAAAGACTCCACCTCTTGAAGAAAACAGCTGCAAAGAATTTGTGCCCAGAGTTAATCTACCACAACTAGAAATTAGGTTAAACTGCTACATCAAAATTTAGTGGCTTAAATACAATAGGAATTTATTCTCAAATAGTAATTTATTTGGAAGCTAATGTAGCAGGTTGAAAATGAATCATCTGGACATGTTGCGTCTGGCTCATCTGGGACCAAGTTCAGTCCACATAACCCTACTGTCTTCTAGAGTGTTCAAAGTCTGCCATCATCACAACTATTTTATCTGCAGAAAAGGGGGAAGATATAAGTTGAAGGAAAAATAATTTATTTTCAAGAAAGTGATATAGTAGGTGCCTGCATTATTTCTGAGTACATTCCATTCGCAAAGATTCAGTCATGAGGCCACAAAAACGACCAGCGAAGCCAACTTCAAAATTTAATCTATAGCTGAAACTTAATGAGCTTAGCTGAAATCCCAATACTCTGGAAGAAGAAAAAATGTTTTTTGAGGAAAACCAACATTCCATCATGCACATGTACCTGAATCTGAATGGCTAGTTTTATCTTCCTTAAGAGTCCTTTTCTTTTAAAAAATTTTTTTTAACATTTTATTTATTTATTTATTTATTTATTTATTTTTTAATTTTTTTTCAACGTTTATTTATTTTTGGGACAGAGAGAGACAGAGCATGAACGGGGGAGGGGCAGAGAGAGAGGGAGACACAGAATCGGAAACAGGCTCCAGGCTCCGAGCCATCAGCCCAGAGCCTGACACGGGGCTCGAACTCACGGACCACGAGAGATCGTGACCTGGCTGAAGTCGGACGCTCAACCGACTGCGCCACCCAGGTGCCCCACATTTTATTTATTTTTGAGACACAGAGAGACAGAGCATGAATGGGGGAGGGTCAGAGAGAGAGGGAGACACAGAATCTGAAACAGGCTCCAGGCTCTGAGCTGTTAACACAGAGCCCGACGCGGGACTCGAACACACGGACTGTGAGATCATGACCTGAGCCAAAGTCGGATGCTCAACTGACTGAGCCACCCAGGCGCTCCCTTAAGAGTCCCTTTCTTGACCATACCATCTAAAATAGTTTATCTATTATCTGCTCTCGTCTTCTCCATAGATTTAAATAAATCTCTGAAATTATATTCTATTTGTTTAATTGCCTGTTTTTTTCCTCCTAATAATACATTGTATTATATTCTTCCAAGTTGCCCAGATTGTTTGTATTATGTTTGAAATAATGAGATGACATGATATGATGATGTGCTGGATGTGGAGGGTGAGAAAAATGGTAGCCTAGCTGCCTAAGCAACTAGAAAGATAGGATGACTACTATGTAAGGTATGGAAAGCATGATAGCAGGAGGTTTGGATGAGAAGAGAGCATGAATTTCACTTGGGGCATAGAAAGCTTGAGATGCCTCTCAGATATCACCAGAAAGGCTTAGCACTGGAACGGAGATATAAATTTGAGTTTTTATCATGTGGATGGCATTTAGGCCGTAAGAATAAGAACACAGGTAAGAGAATGTAGGTAGAGAGAAGCAAAGTGTTTCAAGGACCAACACCTGGAACTTTCTCAATGAAAGGCCAAAGAGATGAGGAGCCAACAAAGGTGAGTGGTGTCCTGGAAACCAAGTGATGAGAAGTGCATCAGTAGGGAACAGACGTGTCAAATCTGCTGGTAGATTAAACAATGTCAAGACTTAGAACTGGCAATACGTCATAGTGATATGAAGTTGGTGGATGACTTTGAGTGGTTTTGGTTGGATGGTGGGGTGACAAATCTCATAACGGTATACTCTACAATCTAGTCCATGATTTTTCTTTGCTTTACATAGTTTCTAAGTATTGTCCCAACCTGTATGATGGAGTAAATGCATATTGTCTTTTCCCAGAGCAGCTAGACAGATAGGCCTTTGACCTCTCAAATTTGAGAAGACAGAAGACGGACAGAGCTTAACAAGATGGCGGGAAGCCAAGGTTTTAGGAGAGAGTTGACTGGGAGATGTTTGACAGTAGATGATGCTTTATGAACCGGAGGGTCAGTTATATCAAATCCTTACTTTGCAGCAGTTCATCATTCTGGGCTTCACTTCCCCTCCATGTTGTCTGAGTACAAGGTTACTGTGTATTTGGTTCTCTGGAAGAGTGAAGGAGAATGAGTGGTGTATGTCACCTTGGGGAAAAGCAGTGTAGACACAGGAGGAGAGGAGGCATAGAAGGAGGTGTAGTGCTTGAAGTGTTGTAAACAAGTGAGACAAAGGCAAGGACTTGGAACAAGAACTGAGAGAAACAAAGAAAACTTATGCGCACATAATCCCTACTCAAATATGCCTCAAAAATGTCTAGGAAGGTCCTCAGCCCCCTGCAGCTAGTTGTTATTTCATTTTCCAGTTAAAAGAAAGAAGGCTGGAGGATTTAGGGTCATTTGAGCTTCGATGGAGAGTGAGCTGGACTCTTTGAAGAAAGAGCTGATGACTGGGTTAGGACTGGACTAGCACAAGAGGATCCTGGAGTGCCTTGTAGTTCCCGAAGCTAAGAAGGAGCTCAGAAAATAGAAGAAGGATTGAGCATCTCACAAGGAAACAAGAGTAAAACTGGAAGTGCCCCCAATGACCAAAGATGCAGCGATCTGAATAATGAAATAAATAATACAGTACAAATTGTACACCAAAGCACAAAGCAGGTATATGTAAAGTCCATGCTGATGTATACAAACAACCAAATCTTTCTCATAAAAATAATCCCGAATAATATGGTCAGCCTTCCCCTAAGAGGTGGAGTGTAGTCCCTTCTGTCATGAGTGTGGCCTGAACTTAGTGACTTGTTTCTAAAATATACAGAATGCAGGAGGAGAAAGGTAGCATTATACTGAAAAACCTGGCCAACATATCTTGTCTCAGTGACTAAAGTTAAGAACTCAGTGACAAGTCATGTTGGTAATATGTGTCCCTTGATAGGATGTGATAAGAACGGCACTTCTTACTTTCTCAAACGCTGACCCTCTGTGTAACCATGACCCAAAAATCAGACAAACATAAATTGAAAGATCTACAAAATCCCTGAGCAGTACTCAAACCTATTAAGGTTGTGAAAATCCAGGAAAGACTGAGACACTGTCACAGATCAGAGGAGACTAAAGGGACAGGACAATATATGCAGCGTTATAGCCTGGATCAGACCCTGTAAGAGCAAAGTGACACTAGTTGAAAAGCAATAATCTAAATAAATCCTTGAATTTTAGATTATATAATATATAAATGCTGGTTTCTTAGTTTTGACAAATGTATTAAGATAAAATAAGATGTTACCAATGGGAGAAACTGGGTGAGAGGTATATGGGACTTGTCTATAATATCTCAGCAAATATTTTGAAAATCTAAAATCATTTTTGAAGTTGAAGATATTTACGTGGCACTTGCCAATCCCTCCAACCTCAAGGGATTTGGGCAGCTCCCCAGGCCTTTGTGGGAAGTCTAGGTTTGGCTCTTTTATATGCTAATTGCTCCTTTAAAAGAAGCTTTTTAATGGTGGGAATGCAAACTGGTGTAGCCACTCTGGAAAACAGTGTGGAGGTTTCTCAAAAAGTTAAAAATAGAGCTATCCTATGACCCAGCAATAGCACTACTAGGAATTTATCCAAATGATACAGGAGTGCTGCTTCATAGGGGCACATGTACCCCAATGTTTATAGCAGCACTCTCAACAATAGCCAAGTTATGGAAAGAGCCCTAATGTCCATCAGCCAATGAATGGATAAAGAAGATGTAGTTTATATATGCAATGGAACATTACTTGGCAACGAGAAAGAATGAAATCTTGCCATTTGCAACAACGTGGATGGAACTGAAGGGTATTATGCTAAGTGAAATAAGTCGGTCAGAGAAAGACAGATATCATATGATTTCACTCTTATGTGGAATTTGAGAAACTTAACAGAAGACCATGGGGGAAGGGAAGGGGAAGAAATAGTTTGAAGCAGAGAAGGAGGCAAACCATAAGAGAGTCTTAAATACAGAGAACAAACTGAGGGTTGAAGGGGGAGGGGAGAGGGGAAATGGGTGATGGGCATTGAGGAGGCCACTTGTTGGGATGAGCACTGGGTGTTGTATGTAAGTGATGAATCATGAGAATCCACTCCCGAAGCCAAGAGCACACTATATACACTGTATATTAGCTAACTTGACAATAAATTGTATATTAAAAAAAAAAAATGAAAGCTGCTTTTTTTTCTGTGCCCAGGCATCCGGGCTGGTGTGGGCTCAGGTCCCGCTGAGGGGCAGTCCTGCTATGGCATCAGGACCCTGCTCTTGTCTGCGGTCTGAACTCGTGCTCACCAGCCTGTCTGACCAAGAGTTCCAGCAGCTCCCTTGCTATTTGGCAGGGCACTACAGCTAGAACGTCCATATTCTAGTTGCCCTTTTAAAGCACAGCTTTTTTTTTAAGCTCCAGGGCTAATAAATATTCTCCTGGTCCCTCAGTGCCATCACTCCAAACCCCCACAGCAGTTCAAAGAATTGGGGTTGGGGGTTCTCTTCTTTACCATGTGATCCAATAATC